TGCTTGTTCGTAGTATCCGCGTATGCACCAACATATTGTGGTTCACCAGAAATGAAAGATGAATTCTACAAGGACCTCTCCCAACTGCTCCGAAGTGCTCGGTCAACGAACATTGTGGTAATCGCTGGAGACTTCAATGCTCAAGTGGGATCCCTGGACGAATCTGAAAGGCTACTTGGTGGTTCACATGCAATTCCAGGTAACCGGACTGACAACGGAGAACACATGATCAAACTTGGCGCTGACCACGGACTGTTCTCGTCAAGCCCTAACTCCTCGCGCAATAAATGACACAGCCTCCTTGGAAACCCCCAACTTCTTCACAGCGCTGGACTCATGTCGACCACTTCGCCATCAGCCATCGCCTGTGAGGATCCATTGAAGAATGCCTGTCTTACTGGTCAACACACATGGACTCGTGCCATGCTCTGATATGAGCGAGATTCCCCCTACGCCTTGTAAACAACCGCAATGAAGCCCATAATACAGTGCCAGAAGTGATTGCGAATCGACCTTCGAGGCAGAACTACCGGATCGCCTCTTAGCTCAAATATCAGTCGGAGGCAGTAAATGATGGACGGCAATAAAGGAAAAGATCCAAGCGTCAATCAAAACAATGGCAAATTTTGGCACACGATCAAATAAAAAACGATGTTTCTCCCCGTCCTCGGTTGCCCTGCTGGACACTCACAAAACCATTCCTTCGGAGCCAAAATACGATAAAGCGTCGGCTCATCAAGAGTCTAGGGAATGACCGCGAGAAGTGGTGGACAGGAAAGTGTAGAGAGATAGAGAAAGCTGCGACTATCGGTAATGGTCGAAATCTTCCGATTAATTAGGAGTACAGGTCCAAGGAAAAAAGGTGTGAAGTAATTAAGGAGTCGGACAGCACACTGATTTATATTTAGCAGCGCCGTCTATTTCGATGGGCAGTACATTTTAAGGCTCAGCTCAGCTGGCCTTCGTTAGCACAAGACCTCCCTATACCCAGGTGAACTCTGTAAATACTGACAGTTGAAATTAGTCCTCCATCTCAAATGGAGATTACCCGAAGAATTAAGTTATCTTAAAAGACTTCCAGCCCCAATGGACTGTCCCCATCACTTTTTAAGAATGGAGGTTCAGCCTTGGTTTTGGAATTAACGAAACTCCTGGGGTTAGTGTGGGAGAGCAAACAGATCCCGACGGAATGGTGTGAATTGGTGATCATATCGATTTACGAGAAGAGCGACAGGTCCTCTTGTGAAAACCACAGAGGAATTAGTTTAATCAATATTGCCTCTAAACTTCTCGCCATCCGTCGATTGTCTGCCGCACGTGAACGGTGTACGCGTGAGAACCAGGCCGGTTTCAGACCTGGTCAAGGCTGTATTGACCACATCTAAATTAGTTTAATCAATATTGCCTCTAAACTTCTCGCCGGTATCATACTCCGTCGATTGTCTGCCGCACGTGAACGGTGTACGCGTGAGAACCAGGCCGGTTCAGACCTGGTCGAGGCTGTATTGACCACATCTTCACACTCCGTCAAATTCTAGAACATAGACAGATCCGGTCGAGGCTGTATCGACCACATCGTCACACTTCGTCAAATTCCAGAACATAGACACTCCTTTCGTAGACCCACCATTTCTATCTTCCTCGATCTGAATGCGGTTTTCGATTCAGTGTTGCTCGACAGGGTTGCCCTCTCTCTTTTTCTATTTAACTTTGCCATAGATTTAATTCTTGAAACATCCCTATCCTCGTGCAAGGATAGCGGTATCGATTTANCCAGGTAAGTTGCAAGTTTTTCTGGATAGTTTGAGTGCTAGTGTTGCCATGTTCAATATGCGCTTTGCACCTTCAAAGTGTAAAATGCTACTACAAGGTTGGGTTGGTCCAGCCCCCAACCTCACCCTAACTGGGGAAGTAGTAGAGGAAGTAGACAAATTTTGCTATCTGGGTAGCTACATCTCACCCGGCGGACGCATCACAGATGAAGTGTCGGCGCTCTTTAAAAAGGCTTGATTGGCATTCGCCAAATGGAGACATTTGTGGCGCCGTCGCGGCATCTGGTTGTCTGTGAAGGGTCGAGTATTTGCGGCAGCAGTTCGGCCAGTTCTGCTTTACGGTGCAGAGGCCTCACCATTACAGGAACCGGATAAAAATAGTTTGTCGGTGTTCAAACACCGCTGTCTACGTCGCATTTCACGAGTATGGTGGGGAAACCGGACGAGCAATGATGAGGTTAGACGCAGAGTCTCAGGTAATCGTGGTCGTCCACTCGAGGAAGTATTTAACCTCCATAAATTATGTTGGTTAGAGCATGTGTTACGCATGTTATAAGATAGGTTGTCACGGCGATCGATGTTTGCTGAGACAGATAGCGGTTGAAAAAAGTTTAAGGGCGGTCAAGCTAAGACCTGGCATGAGGGTATTAAAACCCTGACTAGGAGACTAGGTCACATAGGTCCTGTTCGGCTCCCTGGCTGGGACCTCGAGATCACGGTCACCGATGGTTAGAGGCGCTGAGCGATTTTGGCTGGCTGTCGCAAACAGTGGCGCTGATGCATCCACTCATTATTCTTGTAACAACAGTCTATATAAATTCGCTATTTCCCACTTGAATTTGCTTTGAACATTTCAATCTTCATTCTGCGGTTGTATCCAAATAGGCAGCAACCAAAATAGGTGCTCGAAAGTTCGTAGTCAATGGTTGTAAGAACTGAACTGATACCAACTGCTTTTCGTCCCCTCACTTTGAAGAAAGAAACTGCCACATGATATACACCTGGTTAATTCTACGTCTTCCCTCCACTACATTGTTTGACCAAGTGTGTAGCCAAAAGTCAGTGAAGGGAGCTGGCGCATAAAAGGGAGAATTTAATAGTTTTTCAAACTGAAAATCGAACCAAATATGTTCCTGCGAGTAAACCTTATTCGAATTAAAAACACCAAGATCTCCCATCACTGTCTCCTTTGGGTTTCACTCCTTGGAGTTCACTTATTACTAATTTTAACATTCATACTGTCAAAGGGGTTTGTGAAGGCCAAGCTTATACGGTAAAGCCAGGGATGGAAAATAATGTACACGTTATTGAACAAAATCCGATTTGCAAAACAAACTGTTTTCCGGTAATTTTTTCAACTGCACATTGACCATTGCATAGGTCCAGCATTCATCATTGTTTGATTCGTTGTGAGGCTAGTGCTAATATATTATATACAATGCGATCCCGGGTGTCAGTATTTTGATTGAGCCCCCTTTTGGTTACGACCTTCATCGAGTTACGACGCCCGCATCAGTTTTTGGTTTGATAACTGACCACGACAAGGATATTGCATGAACCAAACGCTTCTTGTCGCATATTTTCCTGGTTGCTGATGGAAATTCCGACTTGGACAAAATAAGTGTTCATCAACTCATCAACTTTACTATCAGAAAGGAAATGAATGACTGTATTCCGTTTCAAATCGTGGACCTTTTTTCTTTTTCATAAAGATTATTCTAGCGTTATCTCTTTGGCCCACAGTCTGAACTCAGGCGTGTGTGAATATATATCTTCTACAAACGAAAAACCCTTTGGAATACCGTAGCATATTTACAGACAATAAACAGAACTGGGAGCGGTAGCAGGATGAGGGAGGCGTAATGCAGCACAGCGGAGTATAGAGGCTTTTCAAGCATCTTAGCTAACAAACTGCTTTCTGAAAAATTCAGATCATCGTTAGCAAGAAACACCATGGGATATCACATTGTATGGCAGTCATTGATGCGAATATAACTGCAGGATTTTACTATTCGTATGTTATTATTACGACAGTTAAGTCAAGTCCGTAGTAGCTTTATGCACCCAGATGGGCGAATTTTGAGCATATTACACCATATTTATGGATTCAGCTTTACAAAACCAAACAAAATGAAGCTGAGATTAGTAGATACTGTCTTTGCCAGTGAAGCAGGCGATTTCGTAACTCAGTGGAATTCTCCTTGTAAGCCAGTGGACGTGCAAGATACGGCAAGATACGAGTGATGGGTGTCTGGGAGTCCTTTGGCAATAAAATTTTCACACGGTTGTAGGTGTCTGTCTATGACGATGTCTTCAAGTTTATCTGTAGCGATACCACTCCATTTAGAGACATGTTTTAGGGGTGTTGCCAGTGCATAAAAATTTTCTTCAACATACCAAGGAAAATCACTGCAAAGCAGTACAACCAGTGGGGTAGTACGTAGGCATTCACAAAGCTAACAATCAACTTGTGGAGAACAGAGTATTCTTAATCGGAGTGAGCAATATGAAGTCTTCTAACTTTACGGAATGTGTCCTGAACGTGCAATGACCATGATAAATTGTGGTGGTGTGACACCAAGACCTTTCATCATTATTGACGTCGGTATAGGTTCCTGATTGGTAGTAAGAGTAGGAAATTGATTTATCGGGTTGAATATGATTCGTCGGCCAACAGGGACAATATACCATCCTGATATTTTGAGGTATTCGATGAGGGAACGGGACAGGGACCAACTAACAACATCGCTTGGTTTGCTTTGAATTTCCGAAGCCTTTCCGGGGGTGGGTGCTTCGCATCCTAAAACCCCATCGTTCGCGCTTTTGCAGCCAGTGAATGTAGAAGGAGAGGAAAATCGTTTAACATACATTTAAGACGGGTAAAATTTGCACATTGGAGAACACCAGAGGCAACTGGGCGATTAGAAGGTTTCTTGTCGTTCAGGCACGTGAATGGCCAGAAGCAATCAAAAAAATCAAAATTATGTGCAATAATTTATCAGGAGTGCATTGTCCATCTCTCACATGAAACCTGTTTTTAGCCATTGTCTCTTGTAATCCTTAGTTATTTCGGCGCATTGTTTGTCAACTGTAGTGTACTTGTGAATATGCATGCTCTGTTTTCTTTTAACAATCTATTTCCTTGCCTTTCATCGATAGGGTTTCGGGAATCTCGGCAATGTCAGGATTGGTGGAAATGCTCCCTCCATGATCATGCCTTTCATAGGGGGGATGAAGGATCCGCGTATCGGACTGCGAAACATCCAAAGCAACAAAGTGATCGTACCTCCGGACTATGGTAACAATGCAAACAAACCCATTCCGTCTACGCGTGGCGGAGACTTGACCACAACTTCTTTATCCTATGAAGAGTTGAAAGCGAAGCTCCTTAAGGAAGGTCGGTTATTCGAAGACCCTGATTTTCCCGCCAACGATAGTAGTCTATTCTACAGTCAGCGACCTCCTAGGCAAATTCAGTGGTTACGTCCTTCAGTAAGTTTTTCCGCCAAGATACTTAAAACACCATTTATTCTCATCCTTTATGAATCGAAGGACAAATATGAAATGCCAACTTAATTTGCTCCTTTGTCCTAATTTTTCGTTCATCGTACAATTCACGCTTACTTCTTATACAGAAAGCATTTTATACTGCGCACTTTCAGTAGTCAATAAATCGGTTTTAATTAACTAGCGAAATTTGAGTGAGAACATTCGTTCTGTACAGTTTGGTTATCTTAAACTGAAATAATAGCGGTTACCCGCTATGAGTTTTCCCATTGGACTCCATAATAGCAGGCATAATAAAAAAAAACAATGAAAGCAAACATGTAAAATCAATACATAAGAAACGATTTCCTTATTGCATAGAAATAGAACAAAGTATTAAACCAAAGATTTAGTGAACAAATACTAGCCGGAATACATTTGACGATAGCCAGGTCGAGAGGACGGTTGTTCTTGGGGATGTTAGCTGATAACGAATGTCTGAGATAGGAAACTTTTTCTTCAGCTTGAACATCTAATCAATTTTTGTAAACACGCACATGTTATTTATGTTGTACTAAATCATCGAAAAAGTCTCATGATGGTTTACCTGAAATTATTTCCAAAAGTTCCAAAACAAGAGCCTAATACAATTAAATCACATCATTGACTCTACATCTTCAAAGTGCAACGTAATGTTGCAGAAACCCGTTGCTGTACTCTGATTGGGTAACCAAACTCGGGAAATAGTCAGAAACCTTGTATACATCAGGCGTTGCATAACGGCTGGTGGAAGTACTGTTGAGGAGATCTTTCAACGCGTGATCAAAGCCAGATTAGCGTTTACTGCATCTGCGATCTGCATCATCTTCGGTGCCGGCGTAAAATATCCCTTTAACTGAAGGCGCATGTGCATTGCACAGCGGTACGTGCCGTGTTGCTCTACGGCTGCGAAACTTCATCTCTGCGAGTAGATAATGTCTAACGCCTATCCGTCTTCGGCAACCATTGTCTATATAACATATCGCCTGCATATGGTGGGAGCATCACGTGAATAAGGATGAGGTCAGATGACGTGTGTTAGGGTCAGATAGTCTTTCACTGAGCAAAAGCATTTCATCGCACCATCTTAGGTGAGTAGGCCACGTCCTACGAATGCCTAAACAACGTCTGCCATACCACGGGCTATTTGCGGACATTGTTCCGGGTTGAGAGAAACAGTGAGGTGGGCAGGCTATGACCTAGCGTCGAGGGTTGCAGAGATTGTACTCGGATTTGGCTTCCGTCGGGGCTTCCCGACTGGGACCCAAAGATTCAAATTGCTGAAGACTGGGATGTGGCATCGAACCGAAGTCCGTGGCGTGAATTCACCGTCTTCTGTTTGCTATCCCCATAGTAAAACAAACAAAGAAGTCAAAATGGTGTGCAACAAATAAGCAAAAAGATGGTTGCTATCCCCAAAGTAGACTGTTTTTCTTCCCCCTTTTCTGTTTCTATATTCACGTTCAACCCATGGTTATTCAGCGTCATATATATATATATATATATATATATATAGCCCTCATTTGTTTCATAAAAAGCTGTTTCAGAATATCAAGCTTCATGGGCGAAAAATGATTGAAATTTTGTTTGCTATTGTTTAACTCAGATATATATGCAGACTACATTTAAAGCCCTTTATCTAAATGCCAGCTATGTTGAAATTGACAGCTGATAAAGCATCAAGGTTCTCCTTTTATAATTTCACATCTTCACATAGTACACAATTCAAGCGTACTGATTAGTCACGAAACTTTCCTGTACGACAAATGTAACCGTCAACATTGCCTCCTAGATTAAATATGACGAACTATCTAAGAAATACTGAGGGAAGGTTTGGTATCACTCAATGTATTGTTGTTTTTGCCCGCTATTCTTAACCAGAAGCTCACACATTCAATGAATAACTTTTGGAGGGGCTTAGATGGAGTTCCAATAAATTAGTGAGGTGAATTTGGAACAACTTCGTAAACTCACAGGTTTAGATTGCTCCATTATAAGATGCATCGGAATGGACTTGCTAGAAGCTACGATTCAACGACAACTGATTCGAAGTGACCACCTAGACCTTCTAATTGCGGCTCTGTGTTTAACAACCGCAGAGTGAGTCGAGGATCTCAAAACCTAATGTTAGTGGCCGACCTCACTCATCATCAATGAGCCCCTACATCAGGGATCAGAGTGTTAAACCGGTATGGAGTTGGGTTTCCTTTAATTCGTAAATGAATTTACACACCGCGCCAGAGGTTACCAGAAGGAAAAATTCCTGGGATCCGAAAATGTATGGTTGTCTTATGATGGATATTTCGAAAATTTAATTTGCATTATCTTACTTCCTGGTTGTGGTCAACGGTTAGATTAGACATCGAGGTGTATTGAACACCTTGGGTGTTTGAGTCCCTCCAAAGGGAATGTGGTCCGATGAACTAGACACCGAAACCTAATGCATTGCGTTTTTCACACACCACCCAGCTGTTTTGTGAGCCAGACTACGGCTAGCTGAGGGTTCCGGCTGTGAATCCTCAGGAGAAATGCACCTGTTTCGGTCTGGGCACCCTAATAGTGTTCCGCCCACAAGGAAATCATGAACTAATTTCTTTGTTATGAAGATTATTGCTCCGTGATTAGCTTGCCACGCAGTAAGGGCTAAGATGCATGTAATACGTAATATAACACCAATCCAAAGGTTCTGACAGACTAATTTCATCTTGTACGCGTTAAAAACTGAAAATATTTTGAAAAAATTGAGTACCTTAAGCGGTTATAGTTTCTCCAGGTAATCCAGTGAACTTAAATATTGGTTTTGGTTTACTGAAACAACTATGAAACCGGTTTATTTAATTTTACAATGAGGTCAATCACCATTTATTGCATTTCCAAGGAAATCTGTTCAAACCCGGAATTTATCACTGGTGGTGCATCGAGATTTGATGTACGTCAGGGAGAATTGGGTGAGTAAATTATTTATAATCAACTATTTTGCTGCTTTTCTGAGGCCATACACATGTTTGTGATGTTACGTTGGTGTTCTGTTATCTAAAATATAAACGTATCAAAGCACTGTTTTTCTCTCTTTTTATGAGTCACATGTTCATCTCATTTCTCCGACAGAAGACATGATCCAGGAAGTTAACCGGGCAGCATTGAAATCTAGAAATTCCCCTTCATGGTGGTCGACCAAATTGAATTTCGAATGTATCGTGTACCTTGTTACTTTCTTCACACATCTAGTGTACTGGCGTTCTTCTTGATACTGCTGTTTACTTTCTGTATTGTCTCCGTCGGTTAATACAATTCATGGCCTCGAAGATTGAAAGCGAACCTGTTTCACTAACGAGCACTGTTAATAGTGGTGCAAAACAGAAACATCGCATCCATACGGTACTATTCCGGAAGGGTCTGTGGATCTTCGGAATGTACCATATTGTTTAACCGATGGACTTCAATAGAGGGTCGTTTTTGCCTTCGTGCTCATGTAATGTAATTCGGAAGTGTATTGGTGCTTTAGCTATGTGATTTAATCTCACTGTCACCATAAAGTTTGCCCTCTTTCATCTCTACCAACAGCTTCCGATTGATCATAGCACCCTTCTTAAAAAGCTTACCATCACAGAAAAGTCAACGGTAAAATAATAATGTTTATAGTTCAAATTATCCCTGAAAATCTAAACTCAATGCAACTGAATATAGATCTGGGTAGCCGTTTAGGGAAAACAAATAACCGCTTACATAATGTGCCAATTTGTACGGCGTTCGGCGGTTTCAACCAGTTTTCCCCACCAACGGTTGGAAACTGAATCCAATCTGTCATACTTAGCCCCTGAAGTACTTGTGACTTTGTGATACAAAAATACAAATACAAAGGCCATAGTAGCACGCGAGAAAGTATCTTCCATGTACATGATTTTTGTTTTCAATCAAATTGCATTTACCCGAATTAGGTCTAATCGTGTTCCAAAGGCACTTCATTTTTATTAGGAACATTTTTATGGTTTATATCAGACCACCGTTTTCTCTGATTTTCCGTTTTCCTCGTTTTCTCAGCTCTCAGTGACGTAAGTTTGCCAGATGTTCAGTTTGTTCGTGGTGCGTTGCAGCTCACGACAAAATGAAGTATTGGGAATTGTGATTTCCTCACACAACTGTACTGAATGACACTTGAGCTCATTTTCTCACCAGCATAGGATGATTAATGTCCTTTTGTGATGTTTTCTAGTATACCACAATATATTTTATTCCATTGTTCATGTTTTATATTTTTTATATTTCTATTTGATGCAGTGGTGTCACGAATAACATCATAAATGAAGTACTGAAATGATTTTATCAAGTAACACTCCAGCATATAGTCGGAAATATTGGTCCTTTTCTACTCGTTTCGCCTGTATTAATATTGTTCTGTTTCGCTTATATCACATCTATTACGCAGGTGATTGTTGGCTTCTGGCCGCCATTGCCTGTCTTTCGATGCACGAGAAACTTTTTGCTCAAATTGTGCCTGACGATCAGGGTTTTGGACCGGGTTATTGTGGTCTCTTCCGGTTCAATTTTTGGCGCTTCGGAGAATGGAAGGAGGTGGTTGTGGACGATCGACTACCCACTGTTCGTGGCTCCCTCGTATACATTCATTCCACGGAAAAAAATGAATTCTGGTCAGCGTTGATGGAAAAAGCCTATGCCAAGTACGTTTTTCGTATGTAAAAGTTTTTATGAAAATACAAAGTGAAATTTAAGGATTATGCATTTTTTAATTGTTTTTTTTACGAACTCCTTATTTTTGACATTTCAGGCTTTGTGGATCTTACGAAGCTTTGAAAGGAGGCACTACTAGTGAGGCTTTAGAGGACTTCACTGGTGGTATAGCAGAAATGTTTGAATTGCGCCAGAAGGCCCCACCCGAACTGTTTCAGGTTATGCTGAAGAGTCAAGAACGCTCTTCCTTGATGGCCTGTTCCATTCAGGCAGACCCTAACCGGTACGAGGCTGAACTGCCAAACGGCCTAATCATGGGTCATGCCTATTCAGTGACTTCGGTGAAATTGGTAAGTTTCAGCTATATAATCCAATGATCACTATCGCTCTATGGCCTTGAATAATTCTGAAGTAATACATTTTAATGATTATCTGTTCTTAAACATTGCCAAATTTATTATGTTTTGTGCATTGTTGGTGCCTCCTCTGTTTCAGAGTAACTGATAAATAAATAGATATATATTTTGGCACTAGGTTTCAGCGATCTTGTCATGAGATGCCTAGTGAGCGACGTAAGTACATTATTTTCTTAGGTCAATCAATCCCCTACGGGGGATCTAATGGAATATTTGTCTCCTGGTAAGACCATGTTCAGTGCAGCATTTATCAGATATGGGAACAACACGTTATCAATTCACCTACAGATATCTATTAGTTTTGTGAAATTTTCTAAACCACACCGATGCCAAACGAAAAAAATCTGGTATGTGAAGGCAGGTATTTGATAATACATTTTAATATGATACCTTAACATTGAGAGTTAAAAGTCATGACAACTAGTTATGGTTGTGTCAAGAGCTTCGCTCTTCTATTGGCTTTCAAAGTAATACCTGATATGTGGGTTTGAAAACCCTAACCAAGAGACTTGGTCATATAGGTTGTGTTCGGTTCCCTGAATTGGAACCTCGGGATCATCGTAACCAGGTGTCAGAGCCACTGAGGGATATGGCTGAGTATCAGTGACATTGGCGCTCTTGAATTTACTCATAATCCAAGCAACCTTTATCTAAATAAATAGTCTGTCTCCTCTTTGAATCTGCTCGCAACCTTCCAATCTTTTGTTCTTTTATCCGAATGGGCCGTCAAAAGACAGAAACCAAAACTGTTGCACGAAAGTGCATGGTTAATTGTTGTAAAAACTGGAACTGTGACCACTCTTGCCCTCGTTTTGCGACTTGACGTTCAGTTAACTGCTGAGGTTTATCATTGAACTAAAAAAGTTGCATCACCGACCAATTTGGAATCATTACTGTGGTGGTTTTGATGGTACCCCTTGTGTAATTTTCCCTCTCGGCTAAAATCATCAGTAGTGTCACTAAGTTTTAACTTTAGTCGAATTGTTGGGCAGTGTTATTTACCTTCTCGACATGATCGGAACCGACGTGTGACCGTCCCGTCCGTGAATCTACAAAGGCACGTGGATCTACATCAACGGTGTAAATCTGTCTGAAAGTATAACCTATTGTGTGCTGCTGTTTGAATTTTTTGTCTTGCTTACAGGTCCTTTCAGTTGTTTTACCGTCTGTTTGTGCATATTTTTTTTTAATCTTCGCCTGTTGGTGGCTTGTATATCATAGATGTCCACTTTTCCTCGTTTGAAGGGTAAAGTGTTTTTTACATTCCTTACTCGTGATTTCACGGATGATGTCAACCCTTTCTTGTCTTCCACCTTATTGTTTTGACTGAACACAATTTTCGGTACTATTTTGGGTAAACATAAGGCTCATCCCACTCGAGGAGAAACCGATGAATGTGTTTTCTTGGAACCGTCTCCCTAAAACGCGTTTCGAAAGCTGAATAAGAAAATGGCATTTGGTAAAGGGACCTATTGAGAAAAAAAGTTCAACGGTTTATTCTTGCTTTGATTACTTCAGCTGGATATATCCCTTCCTGGAAGATCGGGACAGATCCCTTTGGTTCGTGTTCGTAATCCGTGGGGTAATGAAGCCGAGTGGAAGGGTGCTTGGAGTGATAAATCCCGTGAATGGCAACTCATTTCCCCGGATGTTCGTCAGCAGTTGGGCCTCACATTTGATGACGATGGTGAATTTTGGTAAGTTAAATAATTTGTATGTTTGCCCATGCTTGTTTGTGATTTGTTTTATTTCACTTCACCTCTGACACCGCCGTGAGATTCAGTCGTTCGTTAGCGAGCGAGTATATACTGAAGCGGTACAACTCATCTTGGTGTCTGGTTCAATGTGACGGCCGGCGCTAGTAGAGGACTAGCGTAGATTGTCTGTGCCCGAACAACCGTCTATGTCGCATTGCACCAATGCAGTGAGATAGCCTCCCAAGCAAAGTCAAATTCAACGAAGAGTATTAGGTCACTGTGCTCTCAAACCAACGCGTGCTTAACCTCCATCGATTGCAATAACTAGGACGCTTTAAGCATATCATCGGTTTGGATTTATCAACATGCAACATTTTTCGAGGTAGGCAATCTTTAGAAGAGAACCACGGGTGGTCAAACTATGATCTGGCTCAAAGGTGTGGACATATTGACAGGGAACTTGGTGATTTGGGTCATGTGAGAGTTCCGGGTCGGAGAACTCGGGACCGAACCAACAACTGGTGTGCTACCATGGGTTTCAACCAATAACCTTATAGGTTTACTCTCCAATTTCGGTTGCCATCTTTCAGTTGTCCCATTGTTTGGCCAATCATAAAGGAGTAAAAAAAATAATAAAAGCTTGAGAGTATGATTAACTTAAAGACAGCATATAAAATAGACGTGCATAGATGGCAGTGCGATTCACCTTACTGCGATGAGACATGGTTTAGTAAACAGTGGCACTCATGCATCATCTTACTTTCAGCGCACATATAGTTCACCCGCATTCTGTACTTACCTTGGTCCGGGTTTCGGCTTTTAACTCCATTGGTCAAAAGGCAGCAACCAAAACCAGCACATGGCAGTGAATGGTTAATGACAACACAAGCTGTAAATGGATGACCTAATTCGATTGTGTGGAAACCGTAAAATAAAGGCTGGTTCACTTAGGTCATGTTCAGCTTCTCTGTTTCGGATCCTCAAAACCGACTTTGTTGTTTTTCGATACCGCATGATACAGCTGAGCGTTGTGATAGGCAACAGTCATGCACGTCTGCTTGATTTCTTCATTCATCCATTTTTTCACACTAAGTTCTTACATAGTTGCCATTCTTTCCATCTATAATTCGTTTGAAAACCAGGCCAATTGCCACAGGAATGACTAAATCGGAGCATGAAGTTGAAAATTGATAAAAGTCTATGATAAGGATACTGTGGCTTAACTAGATCATTAGTCGGCTTTTTGCCTATGAGTGCAACAATTCTTAGAAAATTCAATATTGTTTAGTTAACAGAAGCTAAATCAATTCTGATGAAAAAGGCGATAACTATTAACCTACAACGGTTGCTTTTTATCGAGTTAATCGAATTTTTTTACTCCCATGTCATTCCGAATTTGCATGCTGTGGTCCTGTGCACCCGGTAGATATGGAAATTAATCAAATTGGAATCGCGTATCATTTTCAAATGTTTATCAAGTTTCTGTGAAGAACGCTGATTAGTCCGTTATTTTAACCATATTGTGGGGGGGGGGGATATTTTTTCAAGGTTAATTTCCATGGCAAGTTCCTTCATACTTCAGGTACTTGCGTGGAACCTGGATTGAAACCGCAGGGCAATTAGTGCTTGCTGATCTATAGTTCAGTTCCCAGTTTACAAAGCAGTTTACCTGTTGCATAGGAGTATTGATCATGAATCCTGCTGTTCGGTGGGCTCATTTTATAGATCGACGACGGTAACTGAAAATATTCATTTTATGGGTTTACCAATATCAGGTTAATCTGTTTGCAACTGTTTCAACACCACTTCATGTGAAATCTTAGGTGTTGGTGGCATAAAGGGAATGCGACTAAGGCATGGCTCACAGAATACATAGGCATTCAAAAGGTACTACACAGTCGATGTTGGTCAGCCCTCTAAACCATTGGAAGGTGTTTGAACTTCCCCATCTTCCTGCTAATGCTTATGTCGAAGAAGTATAAAGGATGCGTCGTGTATGGCCTGAGTAACGTACTCATTGAAAAGTGTACATTTGGCACCGAACTTTAATTTTGGGCTTGAGATATATATTTCCCCCATCTTTGCTTACTGCGTTTTCCCATCGATTGTTGGGTGTAATCAAGGTTACTGTGCTTTAGAAAGATGTGGACTCTGTTGCGAAGCTAATTTGAATAAGTTTATTCCGGAGATTTATAGGGGATTCTAAAATGTACAAGCAACCCTTTTTAATTTAAATCACGCGTAACTTATTGGTTTGCCAGTCTCAATGCAGCTCCAGCGAGGGCGCGCGCATATGAACAACGGTTACGAAATCGATATAATATTGACAGTTATTGATCATGATGTAGTGCACCTGATCGTGTTGTATGATGATGAAATATGTTCATACTGCCTGTAGGATGTCATTCGAAGATTTTAAAAACAATTTCGAGAAACTGGAAATATGCCACTTGGGGCCGCAGTCGTTCAGTGCTGAACAACATGGGCATCAACACGTCTGGGAAATGTGTATCGAGCATGGGTCATGGCAGAGACGCGTTTCAGCTGGTGGCTGTCGGAATTACTTGGGTAAGTAAATTCATTCCAATTCCAATTGCTCTTTCTTTTGGTTTGTTGGACAAGCACAACGCCTCAGTCTGCTGATCCTCAGTAGTTATATTATATCTCCTTTTATGTTTTCGAAGAATGATTCTAGAATTTTTCAATTTGGCGGGCTCATTAAAAACGTATCGACGCATCCATTGGCTAGAAGTGTTTGCAATAATTCGCTCCTCATCATCTGGAAAACTGGTCGGTTCTTCGTAAACATTTATATCCAATATTAGCCCACTCCAATAGTGCTCCCCACTCCCCCCAGATTATTTTTCCCTATCGGGTGATGACCTGATCAGGTATTGATTTTATCTTTCATCCTTCGTGGAAAAGTTCTTTCAATTCAATGTGTTAGCAAGTACAATTAATTGGTCTAAACTTGATTTTTAAAAAGATTAACTTTATCTAAGGGTCAACTTTAGGACTTGAAGTGACATAGCGCGCTAGATTTACGGAATAACGCAGTTTTTCTCATCTTAGGTGCATTATTCTGATGATAAAGTGTACTTTGCTGATCTTGTTTAGCCCTTGACAAGTGGGTGTAAACCTGATGGACGGAATTACGCGGCCTAACCTCGGTCAAATGCAGTTAGTTCCATGTACTTTAATCATGTGCGCATGAAATCCGGTTCACTATTCAAGTGCCCCCGGTAGGCTTCATCTAAGAGCATAATACTTGTAAAGTGAATTTACATAATACTCCTTTAGTTGAATTTCTTGCAGAGTACTCGGTAAAATATCTCGAATAGTTTTCATCTGCTGCATTAGTATATGCGTTGCTAACTCACAGAATTTATAAACACGCTCACTACCCCAGCATAATTGGATTGTTCTAAAGGGAGCGGGTTCACGGGGAGTCACCTCGGGTGGCCTCAAATTAGAAATCATTGTAGAAGAACAACACGTTTCTTAGTACATGAAGAAAAAATCGTAATTAAAATTTATTTTGAAATGTGTTATTAGGTTTCATATTTACACCACCATAAAACTCGGAAAGACAGCCGTGTGGATAATTGTTGTACGAATGCATTGAGAGAACGTAAATGTACATGAAGAATAATAGGTCATGGAAGATATTTGTAGGCTAATATTATGTGGACATTCATCTTAGACATGGATGGTTGCAAATGGAGTTGATTGCTTCATACATTGCCAGGTTGCATAATGGTATGTGTTTAGGAGAACGCGTGAGATTGGAACATTTTAAATATTTAGGGTTGACGTGGATGGGCAAAGAGTGACGATTCTTTCTTCTTTTGATAGAGCTGGTGTTCTGCGGACTTTGAGTAAACAATGAACAAATGTTCGGAAAGGTCGAGTTGTCGGAAATTGGTAAATACATCCCAACTATTGGGTTAGGTGCGCCTGTTCTGCAAAGTCTTTTTGTACATCGCAAAATGATATTGGATAATTACTATGCAGTCTTTTTCAAAGTGCATCCTGTTCCGATAGCGTCATCGACATCGTGTCAGATATGAAAAGGGTTGAGCTCCTTTTCTAAGGCTTGTTCGCATTAAATCCTGTTTAATCAATAAGTTTTACGACGCTAAAGACATACTCTACGACAGGCGAGCAAGCACCTCTGTTACGAAACCGACGCATTGTCACTCAAGTGGATTTTTGGCGCATTTTTCGCGCCTTTTCTCGATCGTTATCTCTCACACTCATGAAGGAGAAACCCGCGAAATAGATCAGGTACGTTCTAATATATTTTAGATCGATTATCCCATCCGGAGACTACAGAGAATATTGCCTTATCGCAGAATTTAGACTGGATTCGGTGAGCGCAAAATGGATGTTATCGTCCGATCCGGGTCTACCAGCGACATCGTTAATGGACAAAATACTTTTGTGTGTAGATATACTCCATTGTACGCGTTGTTGAATCCAATGGGACTCGTGGCTCGAATCGAGTGAACTTTTCTTTGTCTTAATGGCTGTGGATTTGACTTACAGGAACGTTACTGTTGGTTGAACTGAATTATTGTTCGATTAATTGATGCTTCGTGCAACATGTTACAGAGAAAAGTTGAGCAACACAAACTATGGATAATACTGATCGTCTCCGATGTTGGATTGAATATGAACGTTGTGACTGTGGAAATAACTTGTTGTGGCTGATCGCTGATGAAACGTTCAGTCCCTGGAGTTCCATTCCACACCTAAACTAGTGGGGCCTTCTGTGGTTTGCCACCCCAACTCCAGGACCTTAGGTTGCCGGTTTCTATGACCGAAAAGTAACTAACTTGTAACTATAGAGTTTGTCCCATCTACTGTTCATCACACAAGTGTATATATAAAAAATTCAAGACACTAGGTCCTGTTTGTCGCTGTTTTTTCTTATTCTTATGGTGTTTCTTCACCTTGGATTAGTGATCTCTCACACGGACAAGACTTTGAGGAAATGATCACAATCAACAATCAAGTTGCTAGTAGATCGATAATCAGTGTTTATTGAAAACCAAGAGAGCTTGTGTCGGCCAGTATCAATACTTGTAGCTTTATGGACACAACTCTCTGTTCTCACATTCTGATGACCAAGCCGTAATTCCATGTTTATTTCTTGTTCTACCAAGGGTAAAGAAATTACCCATTTTTCTTCACCGGCCATCACACAAAATTATTTCACATTATTATACCCCACGATGGAAAATGAATGAATTCCCTCTTAATAGGGCTTACACTTAAACAACATTAATATCCAGTTCGGTGGTATCATTTATAGGCCGAAGGATGGTATAGCAATGGAGCCTCCGATTGGTCCACTACTCGCGGATACATTTATGGCCAAGACTGAGAGTAGTACCCTTAGACCCATCATTACACGGATTAACATGTACAAGTGATATTTCGGTGATATGTTCTACTTGATACCTTCAGGCATGGATGTAGATGAAATCCTATGAACGTTCAGTGGAACTCATCTGAATCTTCACTTCACTATACAGTTGGAGAATGCTGATGTGCTTTTACGGAGTAAATCGGATCGGGGAACCAAAAGAAGTGCATATCACAAGCCTACATGTAACTGGTAATGCACTCATTTTCTGAGCTTTGTGCCAATGCAGCTGGGAAGAAACACTGTCTGGTCCACGAAGCCAGTCAAATCTGCTCAACGAACAAGCTACCAGACGAACTGCTTTTGAAAGGCACCACCTCAATTGAAAACGGCCATCCAGAGGGCTTCACCAAAAGGCACATTTCGGCTGATTCTCAGTCCTGGTATTATGTTGTTTCTAATGAAGAGATTTATGTAAGGATTGATTTCAAAAGAGATATCTTACCTAACTCGTCAACTATCACACACCATTGTTTAAACGTACTTTGCTTCTACGCACAGTCCCTCCTTTAATACAAAGCTTATGCTGCAGTTACAAATGAAAGACAAATTACCTAATCAGTCTACCTCGTTTTCCGTGTGCTGTTATCCGTGCTCCTATGGAGCGGAATAAGTACTAACAAAAAGGGATCTATAAAAATGCAACTAGTGCCATCCTAACCTATGACAGTCTCTGATTATAACTCGTTAAACAACCGTTTATTTAAGGAATTTCAATCATAATGGAATGGCATATAACTTGACCTGTTTTCTGGATACTTTTTAATTTTCATATTTAGTCACAACTAACTCTTGGTTTCCACGATAATAGGACGCGTTAGATGAGGCAAATTTTATCACGTTTCTCAATCGACTAAATCGGTACGATTACATTCACTGCCCCTGTCCAAAAACTCAGCTACTGTGACAGTTGTTGCTGATTCTTATAATGTCCTCTTCATTGGGATTATTGATCATCCCAATGTGATTTCTCCTGTCACAAGCCTTTGGGAGTAATGACCACAATGGGAACAATCAAATAATTTACAAGCAGATCGATATTCACCTTCAGTTTCTTGAAAAACAAGACAACTTGTATCGGTCAGTAAGATCGCTTCTAGTTTTATAGACAGCGCTTTCTGTTGGCAAAGTCTAATGGACAAACCATAATCTCAGGCTTTTCATTGTACTTCTATGAAATGAAATGTGTCATATGTATTGGCGGATCTACTAGTTACAAACTTGCGTGAGTTCGTATTTCAATAGAAATAGTCACAGATATCTGACATTCTTTTTATACAGGAAACTCGCTCCACACCAGTACATCTTCCCTGTTTCCAGAAGTGGCACTTTGTTCAAGGGCATCATGCTAATTGCAAGAAACTACGGATTTTCATCTTATATGCATCAAAATCATTGGTACGCAACAGAGAAGACCTGACAGCCAACCACGACCAGTACTTCAGTTTTTCAGCTCAGTCCTAGCCCCAAGGGCAACCTGGCTTTAACAGGAACAATGAAAATAAATTCAGGTGAACTTCCATAGATAATTTAAACCTAATTAAGCATAGATTAAGTGAATCAGTTTGCTTTGCCGTCTGATGTTCAAATGAGTGGTAAAATGCTTGCTTCCTACTGGTGCCAGCTACAATAAAACAGCAGGGCAGCATTCCTCAAATTTTGGGCTTATATTTTTCGCTGGTTTCACGACGAATTTCCTTGTGATTTAAAAACACGGTTCTTCAGATAAAAGAACTGTTCGATTTTCCCTGCTAAAGTGGTTATACAGTTTTATACGGTGAATTCTTTTGTGAAACATATGATCAGTTATGGGCTTTAAAAAGGTGTTTACAAATGTTGCTGACCAAATTTTCGATGTACAGAATCTGTCAGCCTCATTTCCTTGGGAATTTCTGGGCGCGTTTGATTCAGGTCGTGTTTAGTCAACGTCAATATACGATCACGGTAGTTAGAGATCTACATACTAAAAAATCGTATCTGGCTCTTTCTTGTCGTGGCTAATGAAAGCATTCCTATGCGATTCTAATACTATGAGCAGGACGCTTAATTCCCTCAATAACGCCTTTTCCAACTTTGGATCCGCTATTGTTAGCCTAATGTGACATTTCTGTGTTTGATCTCAATGGCGCTTCTGACAGATTTCTCAACGCTTTTTGTTTGCTTTTTTCCGCATTGGTAGAAACCTTCTGGATCAATCCTCAGTTCCGTGTAACGGTTGCCGATCCACATGAAGGCAATGAAGGCACCATGATTGTGGGTTTAATGCAGAAGGACCGTCGAAAGCTACGTGCTGAGGGAGAAGACTTGTTGACCATTGGATACGCCATTTATGAGGTTTCTTGTCCCCAACCTTTTCATTGATCTTCAATATTGAACTGTTGTTTATGAATCGAGTTGTCTTTAGCTGTGTGCAAGTTGTTACAAAAATAATAGGAAAACTACATATTCATAGCTTAGAATGATTTTCTCTATGCCCAGTGAATTAGTTTCTTTTTGAACGTCCATCGTACTCGTTTACCTGAATAGTACCCATTTACAATGAAGTTTTTTGTACAGTTTCACAATTCATAGTTTTCAGTACAACTGTAATCCTTCTAGTGGTTTTATAGCATGCCGTACATTTCAAATCTTTGTACCTGCGTAAAGCAAATTCATGTGTTCTATTGAGTGTCATCATTAATGTTTTATTGTTATTTGAAGTATAACAGTAATAATAATAGTAATAACCACAATAAAGTAGAATCATACAAGCTACGTATGTGATTGTGAAAATGGTAGTTCGACTGTGTGCCGTGAAACGTCACAGTAACTTTATCTAATGTCTGCCGCTTTGTGTAGTGTGCAAGACGAGGAAACGAGTGCCTCCTAGCCGTATCACTGATTTAGGCGCACTCAGCTTGCATGAAGATGGTACTTTAAAAGGTTCCAAATCATCGAAAAGAATGACAATTTATACGGAAAACGGTGGGTGATCAAACACATGATTTCCATGTGAATTAGTATTCAGCTCAATCAGCAGACAGCCTCAACAATAAACTTTGATGTTGCTCTGTCTATTCTGCCGAGAAGCATAAATCTCGTATATTTTCGAAATCTATCAGTAACTCCTGGATAACTATTCCGCTTAGAATTAGGACCCTGATGAAGTGTAGTTATCACATATTCCAATAAAACGTGTATCTTAGTGACTCTTCGGCTGAATAAAGGTTAGTTGTATTGTCTCGATGTATTAATTCCTCAGTCCCGTTATTTGCACTCTTTTTATGGGTTTCGTCCAGTAAATGTACCGTGTGGTATTTTGGTTCAAAAATCGCATGTGTCTAGCCGTCTTCACTCTCCTTTACTCCATTCAGCTCCCTCCAGACCAACAAGGAACTTTGGGACTGAATTTCTTCAAATATAATGCGTCTAAAGCTCGAAGCCCTGCGTTCATCAATCTTCGTGAAGTGTGCGGTCGTCATAAACTGAAGCCTGGTCATTACGTTATCGTACCATCTACTTTCCAACCAAATGAAGAGGCAGACTTCATGCTGCGAATATTCTCCGAGCAACCACAAAAGGCCGAGTATGTCTGTATTTCCTATGCAATTTTTTTAATTTTCCTTATGTGGAATGCTTTGCTCAGGTTTTTCCTGAAAATCGATGGCACGTGCCCAAAAGTTAGCATTGTCCAGTTCACTTGCCTATTTGCTATTTCCTCTTATACGGGTTATCGCGGCATTGTCGGCTATAAAGAATAACTTCCTAGAAGCCGTATGCAATCGTTTGCGCAGCAACGTGTTCTCCGTTTTAAATTTATGTATTTATTATTTATTTTCGCACACTCAATTTCAGGCTGTGCCATACAAACCACGGTACGATAACCTTGATACATAGGAAAAAACGGTCCATGATTTTTTTCGAGGGCGTGATGCTGCTAGGTTGCTCAGACCAAAGCTGGTGCATTTTCTTAGGGAGTTCACAACCGAAGCCTTTAGCTAACCAAAGCAAAGCAGCTGGGCGATGTGTGAAAACCGCATTCTATTAGGGGCCTGTGTCCAGTACATCGGATCATGCTCTCCTGGGATGGGATCACATGTCCAAGGTGCCGAATACACCTCGATACCCAATCGAGTGGGTGACCACTACTACTGGTGGTTCGTACCCCTCTTATCAGTTGGTTCGGAATCAAAGATTTTAGCCAACTCTCTTAGGTGAACGGCCATTGGCTCACCGACCCAGTTATAGCCCCGTTTTGGATCCCGTAATATTCATATCGTTTGTTTGCATACGGGTAATTCAATTTTGGTGCACCCGTTTATTACACAAGAATTCACATCGCGTCAAAAGCGTACATTAGCTAATTGCTATGTTTTGGAGCTTTTTTCTCCGTACTACTCCATCGTCTTTATTTCATAACATCTTTGTTCTTTTCTTTCTCTTTGATCTCTCAATTATACAGTATTTTGTTCCTATGCATCTAGAAACAATTCCTCTAACAAGGGACAATATTTCTTTCCTGAACAAAATGCATATTCTCGGTAATGAGGTTCTCAGTCGTTGACACTCAGTTTATCCGGCTTCGTGTCAGTGAATTTGCTTGACTCGGTTCCAAATTGATACTAATTCGTCCATGTTCTTGTTAACTTGAACGCTTATAAGTTAGGTATGCTTTGCTACCGTAAAACGAATAGTGTTCTTTCTCTCCTATGTATGAATTTATCTGAATTTTATTTCCCTTAAAGTGATACACTAAATTCATGCTCATTAATATATCGGGCATAACGATCTGTAGCGATATACCAAGGAAACAATTACTCTGTTCGCCGTAGATAAATACCCATTCTATCGTGTTGTGGTGTTATTCGAATAATCTGAATTTAAACTTATCTTGGAGTGAATTATGTAGCTATTGAAGGTAGTTCTATGACCTCATTTTTACGAAGTGAACCGGCGAGTGTTCTAATCTGTTGGTATGTTTGGTGTTTTTTTCCACATTTACAGAGAAATTGACGATGAAGTGGGACTAACCAAAGAAACGGTACGTTATCGTCAGTTATCAATAGTGTCAATTGTTCTTATTGGTGCTTTGCCTTGGGTCTATCCAATCTGTCTATTTAAAATTCCCGTCTTCGAAGGTATTTATACATCAATAATCTTTTGCTGAGTCAAGGTTCACTAAAAAGTGTTTATCGAATAATTTACACTGTATCTATGCTTTCTTCACCGTCAGACAAATACTGCAGCTTCAAAACGATTCTGCAGTCGACGGGGTCAACCGAACCATCCCGTGATAGTTTATCTTGGATCGTTTTTTGTTAAGCCACTATTCCAGATTGTCTGTCAATCGCTAAATAGAAACTTAAATCACAATTACGATGGAAACAAGACATCATGTATTTCATGTTGTCGTCGTTTTCCTTGTTGAAACATTATTTCCTGAGATAAACTTGAAGAGAGCACAACAAAGCCAGGTTGCACAGTGTATGCCAAGGCAGATTTCACTGCACTTCAGCTGGTACATCACGGCAGAAAACAACAGTTTAAATAGTTGAACAGCTCATCAGGTTGCGGACGAATGCGACATGGTTAAATGATTACACTTTTACCACTGCCAAGTCAGTGACAGTTTGAATGTGGAGGCGGAGCACCTTTCATCGTCAGAACAGATAGGCGTGCTTCCAGAAGCATGTCACAGGTTGGGTTAGACGCTGATTGACCGAATCACATGATAAGCGGTCATTCTCCAATTTGACCCCTCAAATCCAAATACACACGCATCACCCACCTCTGACACACTCAATAAGATTACCAACCTCCACCCTTACCGAAGGACACCGAACACACGAACAGCCTGTGTCAATTATGGCTCGACATTTGCTGATGACACATTATGGTCCGAGCCCGACAAGCCGATTTGAGATCATGTATGCTATCGCCAACCTCGGCTCCATAGTTTCGCGGAGTCGGTTAGAATAAGAAGATGGAAACCTGACCTGACAGACGTAAAAGTGTTATGATTCGACCCTATCGTATTCGTGTGTAACCTGATGTTGGACGATTTAAACTGATGTTTTTCTGCCTTATTGTACCGGTTGAGATGCAGTGAATTCTGCCTCGGCATAATTCGTGCAACCTCATTGGGAATACTATCCTTGCCCACGAAACAAATCATCAAACATATCTTTTGTATAGCATACATTCTTTAATGGAAGCTTTGACTGCGTTATTTTCAAGCACTTCCATAAGGACGTCCGTATACAACAGCCTGGTGGGTAGGTAATCGGCACTCCTTTTTTCTGGTAATCAATGAATTTTAATTGCCCGTTATATGTGCAAAAATAAAGTAAGTGTTCTTCAGTCGAGATACCGATGTTCAATGTTCAATGTTCTTCAATTAGAGGTAGAGGGTAATTTCCCGTATGAGCCTCATCACCACAGACTCGAAGATCTCATTCATGATAGATCTGCATACCACATTGTTCGCAGGACGCTGTCGAGCTTCAACTT